TATATATATATATATATTGTTTTGTGTCAAATAGGAGTAATTTTATTCTTTACACTATAAAGAACATATAAAGAACATTGACTAATCCAGAGTTTAGTCCCAAATTTCGTGGTTAGGCTAGGAGGATACCGGTTGTCAATCCAGAGCTCTGGCTACTCCCTCACATGAGGGTTAACATGCTCGCATTAGTTTCCAATCAACTGAACCAAATTGGGGATTCTAATCTGTCGCCTTAAAATCTTTCAATTCTACATCCAACGAAGTATATTTCCCTATTTATGTACACCCAATTCCATGGATGACATACTCTCCTATGAAATCAAATGTGATTCTCCCTTTGTTGCAGAAATCATATCTCTTTTTCATAACATATGTTTCTCAACACATTTTAACAATTCAATTGACCAGATCAAAAAGTAAATAAGTTCGGAGTTGAAAAATCATCATAATTTATTTTATATTTTAATATTGGCACATCCATATGATCTCTTCATTTCACCATATCTCAAAGTAGAGAGAAAGATAAAGAAGACTACTCAGATTTCATGAGAAAGACAGACTTCATATATAAAAACAAGTTTACAAACAAAAGAAATGAAAAATACAACTTATCTCACAATCCTTCCCAATCAAATCCCTAGAAGTTCTCTCCAAGAATTTCTCTCTTTATAAGCACTCTCAATTCACTCTTAAAAGTGTAATGAAGAAGAAATCTCTCACCTTCCCTCTCCTCTTACAATCTTTGAGGAAAATCTACTAGCCCTTGACAAGCCCTTGACTTTCTCTGACTTTCTCTCTCTATCTCTCCCTCTTGGTTCTCACACCACCTCTCTTTTCTCCTTTTTCTTTTTCTGCCCCCTCCTCTTACAAGTTCTTCTCCTACTCTATTTTATTTTTGGTTGCCTCCTCTGAAAAGAGTTTCTATTTTCCTCAAAAATTTAAAAGTCAAACGTTTGAATTTGAAAGATGTGCCTCTTTGATCCAAGTGTCAAATCCCTTCAAATTAGAACATTTCAAAGTGTATAGATGCATTGAATCACTCCATGGGGTGTTTAGAATAAATGTCCCTTTGAAAATTCATGCAAATTTTGTCTCGAACCGTCTTAATTTAAAAAGTCGCACCTAGCGCATCATTTGCTGGTGCTCTGGATTTTGGCGCATAGTGCGGCGCATCATGCGTCAACCCCAAAATTGGTTGTTTTTGCTCCAAATTTTGCTCCTTTTGCCATTTTTGCTCCAAATGCCTAAAAGTGGTATACCTGCAACAAAAACACAAAAATACCTTTCTTTAACATGCAACATCACCAAAAATAGGCATAAAAATGGGACTTAAAACATTATATTATTTTGTGTATCATTAGGTTGGGAGGACACTGGCTGCCACCCCAGAGTTCCCACTACACCCTCACCCGAGGGCTAACAATCTCGCATTAGTTTTCAATCAACTGGACCAAATTAGGGATTTTAATTTGTCACCATAAAATCTCCAATTTTGCATCCAATGAAGTATATTTTCCTATTTATTTGCGCTCAACCCTATGGATGACATCCTCACCCTTGGAATTGAATGTGACTCTCACCATGTTGTAGAAATCATAGCCTCGAAAGCCCTTTTGGAACATAAGTTTCTTAACAAATTTTAACATTTCAATTGGCTAGATCGAAAAGTAAATAAAGTTCGGAGTTCAAATCATCACAAATTATTGCAAATAATCACAAATTATTGACATTTCAAACCGTATAAAACAAAATCAATTCTTCACAAAACCATATCTCAAAGTAGGGAGAAGGATAAAGAAGACTACTCAAAATTCATGAGAAGAAAAGAATAAAACATAGATTTCATATATAAAAATAAGTTTACAAAACAAAGAAATAAAAGACAACTTATCTCACAATCCTTCCTAAGAAAATCCCTAGAAGTTCTCTCTCTTCAAGCACTTTCTCAATTCTCTCTTAGAAGTGTAATGAAGAAAAAATTTCTCACATTCCCTCTCCTCGTACAATCCTTGAAGAAAACCTCCAAGCCCTTTACTTTCCTCTCACGCCACACACACACACACACTCACCTCAAAACTCCTCTTCAAGACCTAGTTCACACGCCTCTCTCTTGAAGCCCTAGAATTTCCTCTTTTTTATTAAAGGCTTCATCCCTCTAAAAAGAATTAAAAAATCCCTCCAAAATTCTATCCAAAAGTCAACCTTTTGAATTCAAAAGACATGTCCATTGATCCAAGAGACATATACCTTCATAAAAGAACCTTTTAAAGTGTCTAGCTGCCACTCCTTGGGGCGTTTAGGAAAAGTGTCCCTTTCAAAATTTGTGCAAAATTATCTCGAACTATCTTAATCTGCAAAAAGTTGTCTCTAGTGCCTCAGGCATTGGTTCTAGTGCTTCAGGCGCTATTTTGCTTAAGACCACATTGTTCTAAGTTTTGGCACTTCAGGCGCCAAATTTGGTAGTTTAGGCTACAGCTCCCTGTAAATTGGCACTTCAAGTGCCAATTCTGACGCCTCAGGTGCCAATTCTGGTGCTTCAAGCGTCAATTCTTGGGCTTCAGGTGCCAGAATCTCAAAATTCGTTGTTTTTGCTCCAAATTTTGTCATTTTTGCTACTTTTGCTCCAAATGCCTAAAATTGATATATCTACAACAAAAATATGTAAATACCCTTCTTTAAAGTGTAACATCACAAAAAATAAGCACAAAATATATACTTAAAACAACATACTATTTTGGTGCATCAATTATCCATGCTAACCACATACCTTATTCATTTTCTTGGATAAAGTATGAAGCTTTAATATGAAGAGAAGTCTCCAAGAAAGGAATGAAGATAAAAGGATTTTGTAATTCTCTAGGTTTAACGACCTGAAAGTTATATCCAAATGAAGCCACAAAAATAAAAAAAACAAGATTAGTACAACATTGACTTAAAATGCCTAAAGGGTTAGGGTTTTTGGATGCAAAACTCATGGAAATGTAGAGAAAGCAAAGAAAAAGATTCTTAACCAACAGGTTTCCTCTAAGATCAGCCTATCTTGAGCTCTCTAACATTAGCCTACAAGTCTTCTATCAAAAGAAAATGAATTTTGGAAGAGTTCTCACCATCGTGACGTATTCCTTTTTTCTCTAATATTTTCCTTGCGCAAAAGCGTTAGATGACCTCTTCTTCTTCTCAAGAAACATTGAGAAAATGATTTCTCTCTTTTCTCTCCGAGGATTGAAAAGGTGGAGAAGATGATCCTTTTCTCAATCTCAAAATGTGAAGAAATAGAGAGGAGGAAGATGAAAGAAGAGGCAGAAGATGAAGGAAGGGAAGTGATCATGAAAGGAACTCTCTTTTCCATCAGTTTTTCTTTTCTTCAAAGAAAACTCCCTCAGCTCTTCAAGTTCTCCAATTTTTTGAAACCTCTACGGAAGAAGAATAAATTTTGGATCCCTCATCTAATGTCATGAGAATGTATATATTCACCCCATTTCTTTTCTAAATGGCCATAAAAAATGGTTTAAATGACAAAAGGATGCTCCTCCTTGGTCATCAGGAAGGCAAAAGCTTAAAATAAAACCCCATTGGCCATCACAAGTCACCTCAAGGCCAATCTTGGCTTCATTTAGCAAGTTGGGGGTCAAAGTCAACAATTTCAACCATGTTGGGCTAGAAGCGGACGCCAATGAGCTTAAAACTGGCACCTGGGCACCATGTTTTCTATCTCAGGCACAAGGGCATCAGACAGTTGCCTGTTAGGCCTTGTTATTGCCCAAACAATTATTAAAGGGTTTTATAGATCCCTTGGATCATGGAAGACTATTATGATTTAAATATAATCGCCAAACATTAAAATGGTAAATAAACATGTGAGACATCAAAAATGAATGCAAAACAAGGGTAAACACTTCCAGGCTTGACTACACCAAGTCAAACCCTGGTTTTGTGCTTGAAATGTCCGATGATGGATTTTATGGATCACGTGGAGCATGGGAGGCTATCAGTGATTAAAATATAACCAATCTATGGCGCGAGCACGTCGGTTCATTGGGAACGTTACAGGATATGCAGAGGAGGTGTTAGGAGGTGTAGGGCTAGTGGAAGAGGCCATGTGTAATTATGTGTTTTCGGGTAGGCTTAGGTTTATTTGTGTGTGTTAATTATATATAAAATACCCAAAACATCTTGCAACTTCCACATTAAAAATAGGGGCAGATATGTAATTTTATATATTAGACCCACCTTCTCTATAAATAATGAATTTTTTTTATCAGAAAAGTCTAATCAACAAATTGAGTTAGTCTTCATTATTATGCACTTCTCAGACCTTTTTTTCCTCTTATCATATGCTCTATTCATTTAATGTAATTCACGGATAAATTATAATTCAACAAGCACCAATTTTCCATGACTTATTTTAGCTTAATCTTGTACAGATTACCGAAAACCTAATAGTCTACAGTCCCACTTCAAACAAAAAAACTATGAGTTAGTATCTTATATTTTGATATAATTTTCCAATGAGAGATCTACTATGAGTTATTCTTATATTTTGATATAATTTTCCAATGAGAGATCTGTGATAAAATTTTTCTTATCTTTTTGAATTTCTTAAGTACAAGATTGATTTTATGTTGCCTTTTAGGTATGCGGCCCTGCTTGGGAGATGGGTAATATTTACATTGAATCCCTATCACGTACATTTATTTCATCATTTTCTACTATATTAAATGAGATAAAATATGGGAACCAAAGCGACAGGTCTGTCCTCTTATGCCCGCATGATTAAATGTGGCACAGATTCGTATCGTCTCATCATCCTCTTTCTCTCTGCTTCATGTGAATAGAGAAAAGAGCTCATCAAATTACAATGGATGGTCTTCCATCTAAACAACTTATGATAGATGTTTCAGACCCAAAAAGAAGGTGAGATCTTTTAATCATTTTGGCGTTTAAGAAATCTTCTTATAAGATGTTGTTGTTATATATCTAAATTTATGTATCTCCAACTTTTGGTTGGTTCATATAGGAAAATGACTCAGAAGACTGTGGTTATAGTAAGAGCTGAAGCTAATCTTGCAAAGCATAGAGGTGAGGCACCTCCTGATTACTGGTCTTGGAGGAAGTACGGGCAGAAGCCAATAAAGGATTCACCATATCCAAGGTAGTCTTTATTCCTTATATTTTTATCTTTTATTTTTTGTCTTCTTACATTTTCTTGCCCTCTTTTGTATTTAGAGCATATTACAGGTGCAGCAGCTCAAAGGGTTGTTCTGCCAAGAAACAAGTAGAGAGGTGCAAAAAAGATGAATCATTTATTATCATTACTTACACTTCCAACCACAATCATCCAGGCCCAGTCCTCTCCTCCCTTAACAAAGCTATTAACTCTTCACACATTCCCTTCCTCAAAGAAGATTGCTGCTCATCTGAAACTAGCAGAAATGCAGGAGATGCGAATGAAACCTCTTTATTGAAGAGTTTAGAGGAATCAACAGAGAAAGTTCAAGGAAAAGGTGACGCCTTTCCTTCCTCAATAGAACCAGTAAATTGTTCTTTGGAAGACAAAGACATATTTGATGAGCTTGAGGAGCTGCCATTTCCTTCATCCTTTAATACCTTGGTTAGGAGCTGCATTTTTGATGAAAGAACTCTTCTTCCTCCATAAGAATTGTAGGCCTTAGTTCTTACAATTATCATCATTATAAACATAAATCTTCCCCTCTTTTTTATTCTTGAATATGCACAATTTGCCTTCATGGCTTCTTCTATTCAGGCCCACTTGGTTGTTAGAAGATTGCAAAGTATTCTTTAAAGTGATGAAATTTGTTAGATAATCAGCACTGATTCGAACTCCACAATTTTTTTATAATGCAAAATGATATCTTTTAAATATTTATTTTACTATTATTATTATAATTATTACAACAAATATCATTATTTTTTTTATTCACGAGCAACCAAATGAGCTTTTAGTGTGTGGTGTCCTTTACTGTTGTAAATGCACTTACTTTCTCTGCTTTCTTTCTGTGAAATAATTGAATGCTAGTGGACAAGTGGGCAAGAGCCAAGACTCACTCAGACGAATAAAGAAAACAAGGTTTTCCTTCTTTGTTTTGGCGTAATGAACTGAAACGAGAAGATGGGCCTCCAGAATTCAATGATGGGTGTCACTTGTTAAGTATGTCCGATTATTTTTAATGCCGATCAATATCGGTGTATTATAGTGGGGCCCACTTAACACATGACTCTCATTATTAGATTTGCATCCTTAAAATTTAGTGTATTTCTGATTCTTCTGATTCTGAATGTAATAGTTTCTCCTCGTGAAAGAGTTTATTATGGCTTAAAAGTGATGAGAAGATGGGCATCCAGATTTTAATGATGGGATTTCACGTGTCAAGTGAGTCCGATTATTTTTAACACTGATCAATACCGGTATATTATGATGGGACCCACTTAACACATTCGCTCAATATTAGATTTGCGTCCTTAAAATTTAATGTATTTCTGATTCTTCTGATTCTGAATGTAATATTTTATCCTCGTGAAAGAGTTTATTATGGCTTAAAAGTGATTCTTCTGATTCTGTTGTACTCATAATTAGTTTAACAGTAATCCTCATAAAAAATATATGCGCCGCTTAAAAATTAGTGTATTTCACGCATATTCAATATTGCTTCTATTATTTTTCTTTTTATTAAGATTTTCAATTTTTGAAAAAATAAATTAAAATTATACTAATATTAAAATGTTCAATAAGAAAATTTTAGTATATTATTATTTTTTTTTTATAATATAAATTTTTATTTTATCTTTAACATGTAACAATTTTGTTGCCATCCCTAACATATTCTTTATGGGAATATCTAGAACAACATTTTGGACGAGTTCTTAAGTATTATTATCAATTCCAATGAAAAATAAGCCATATTGCTAAGAAAATCTGATTTGATATCCACAAATGTGCATTGCTTGGGTTGATCTGTTATCCACGTACTATTGTTGATGGGAATGGTTCGAAAGAAAGTTCTGTACAGGCTATGGGATGGAAGAGTTTAGCTGTTCATGAGCAATAAAATGAAGCGGATTGAAGAAAAGTAGGGGACACATTATTGGTTGCTGGAAAAGATAGTTTGGCTGTCAGTGCGCCATTGGAAATGCAACCAACAAATTATTGGAAAGAGAAGCCAGCAAACTATAACAAAACGAGATTAGCAGCCTCGCAAACAGGATTTGGTATACTTGGAAAACTTCTAAGCTAAGATTTGGGCTGTGGATTGCTTTCAAGAAATGAATAGAGATTGGGGGACTGCTCTGAGATGATCGGCGGATGCAAAATGCAGAAGCAAACAGTCACTCTTCTTCATGCTAAAAGAGCATGATTCTCAATTATTAGAGTCGAATGAATGCTTGTTTATGGATGTTTTGATGGAAAGAGGAGGAATCAATCTACGAGAGAATGGTTGAGGGGGAAAAAGAGGTTGGCATTCAAAGAGATGAAAGGAGGCAATCGATAACTTGAGAGGACAAGAAGGATATGCGATTTTCCTTGCTTGCAATTATTTTTAAAATTACTTTTAAGTATTGTTGGATCCTAGATTGTTGTAATGGACACACCGGGAGAGTTTTTAGAATGAAAGTAGGGAAGAAAGGATAAAATAGAGACAAGAAAATATGGGTCCAAGGGAAATTCACTGAGATGAGTGTGTAACATTTATTCATCATCTAGCCTCTATTTATAATCATAGGTGGCTTTTGTAAACAATTACACCATTATCCCAATGGTTAGGGGGCATTCCTTGTCTTTTCCTAAACTTGGGTTGCAACCATTGGGTATAATATAAAACTGACTATATTTTACTTCTAACTGTCAGACACTTTGTTTCTGACTGATTATGGTGATTAGCAGATTCAATCGGCCGTTTAGGTTCAATTATCGGTCATCGGGGAAAGCGAGCTGAGTTAACTAATCGTTTGCCAATCTTTCACATGGAATTCCAATCGAAAACAGTGAAGACCTCTAAGTCTGTTTGACCTTTTTAGGATTCATGCTTAAATTTTTTCTATAAATATATTAGTTCTCCAATTTCTTGCTCCTTCGTAACTACAAAAGGAAAAGAAAATGATTAGTTAAATCTCATCAAAGCACAATGGTTACTTCATAGTTTTTCGTGCCCATAAAAACTTAATAAATAGGGTCAGCATTCTTCCCTTCTCCTTCCAATATCAAATATCAAAATGCCTTCATGTCTAATGTGAGAGCCCCAACTCGTTTTGATGACGAGGCACTTCGAATTGCACTAGAAGATTTTCAACTCCCTCTGCATCCCCTTTCTACCCCTGTACGAGAAAAGACAAAGAAAAAGATGATGGTTGTAAGGAAGAAGAAACTCAAGGATTATGCGATCAACTCAAAAATAATGAAGTAGCATCTTTTGCTGGCCCTGATGTTGATCAACCAAAAAAATAGCAAGAATGGAAGAAAATCAGGGGTTTTTGACTCCTCTCATGGATCCTGTTATGATCATCATGGAAGGGACTCATTAGGTTGATCTGATCAGCCAAGAGATAGTTGTTGTTCTCAAACACTTTTGTACAACAGAGACTTTGGACGGTCCTTCGTCAGAAGTACAGAAAGTCAGCACTCCCATGTCGTGGTCAGCCAATGTTGCTACTAAACATATAATTTCAAGAACCATGCTTCACCAGTCGACTAGAGGGAACCAACCACCAACCGACGATGTGATCAACCAGCTAGCTGAACTTTTCAATGCTTTGTAAGGAATGAATAGCGGTCAACAACTATCTTGTGGGTCGTTGGAGTGAAGAGTGAATGAGATGGTCGACTCTTTTGAGCGTGTTACAAGGGGAATGAATAACGATGTTGTCTAGGATCTGTGATACCTGATTCTATGCTGATAATATAATTTTATGTGTTTATAGCGGCTACTCCTAGTGATGTAGGTATTATTAATTTTAAAATATATTTTCTAATTATTGATTTCAAAAATTCACTAGGATAGCAAGTGTACATATCATTCAAGTAATATAAGGCTCTAATGGAGTTCCAAGTATTAATCTCACTGGGAAAGAAAAAATCTTTTTATAGACTTAGTAAAACCCTACTTAAATTGTAAGTAACTAATATAGCAATTAAGATCAAATTTATATGTGTAAAAAGGAGTACTTATACCTACTAATTCTATTTCTAAACTTAAAGAAAATGCAAAATGTTCCTAAACTAGCTTTACATAGAAGTGTTCAAATTATATCAAAGTCAAAGTCCTTCTCTTTTTAATGAGATGATAATCAGTGTAGGAATCACATGCTTATAAATTTAAATGTAGTTTTGTGAAAAATAGGAGCATACCTATTCTTTACCCTCTTTTGAGTGCATATAGAATATTAGTTAACCTAGAGTTAAGTTCCTAAATCCTTGGTTATACTGGGTAGATTCTAACCTTTCGCCTTAGAGTGCCCACATAAGCCTTAATTTAGCTAACCTAGCCTTAAATTTCAAACCCTAGATCAAATTGGTTAAGGTTCTAGCCTGTCACTCTAAAATCACCAATTTACACCCGTTAAAACCTATCTCCCTATCTATTTTCACTCACCCCAAGATTACTTTTTCTTCATCCTAAAGTTTAGTTTGGTAATTAATAATTGAGAGAAAACATAACCCTCCCGGGTCATTACGTTTTCATACTATGTTTTAACATATGAATTGGCCAACTTACATAAGTAAAATAAGCATGAGGTAATATACTATCACAATATTGAAATAAAAGAAATTCTAAATAATTCTAATCCTACACATTATTATTTCTCATCACAAGGAGAAAGATAAATAAAAAAATCATATTTCATGGGGAAAATACAAAAAACACATGGATTGATATTTAAAATCAGGTTCACACAATAAACTTTAACAAAACTCAAACAAAAATACAAAGAACTTATCTCAAACTCCTCCCTAAGAAAATTTCCTGAAGTTACTTTGAAGAATTCTCAACTCTCCGTACAGTCTCACTCCAATAGACACACCCCCTCACTTGAAGAGACACACCCCACACACATCTTAATAGATCCTTACTTCAAGAGAGACCCCCTTATAATAACCCTCAAAATCCCCAAGAGTCACTTCAGATGCTCCTTCAAAATTTGTCCAAATACATTGCATTTAACAAAAAAATCAATTGTTTCCCTTAAGCTCCCAACTTTGGTGCTTAGTTGCTAGTCTTCTAAAAGCAATGAAATAACTGCCTCGCGCCTAGGCACCAAGTAAAAATTTTATTCTCTGCTCAATTTGGCTCTGAATTGCTCCATTCACTTCATTTGCTCCAATTGCTTAACTTATTGTAATTGTAATCAAAATTACAAAAACAACTTCAATTAAAGTGCAATATCACTTAAAATAAGCATTAGATTTATATAAAAAATTGCACATTTTCAGGCATGTCAAAATCCCCCAAACTTCATTGTTACTTGCCCTCAAGTAAATCTCCTATTTTATAACCATATACTTTAACTTATGGTAGTGGATTTCATTAAGGATTCCAATAGTTTTGCCCCATAAATGAGAAAGTGTAACTTTAGAAAAATTTTCAATAACTCATGTTAGAACTAGGGTATAAGAATATCTAGTAATTAAATTAGGAATTCTGATTTTCTTTTCATTTCAAAAATAATTGTAATTTGTCAAACTTAGGAATCCTAGAAGAATAAAAGATAGAATTATATGAAAACTCCATTAGTAAAGATTTAACTAATACATTTAAAATTGATAATAAGCTCAGAAATGTAGTTAGCTTTCTTCCATTAAAATAATTCAGGTGAAGCCAATTTGTAATTAGGCATCTTCTCAAGCCTCTCCCCACTTATTTTCTTTTTTTTTTCTTTTCCATTTCTTTTTCTTTTTTTTCACGATCTTTTTAATCCTTATTTTCTTATGTGAGAATTACTATATCCGGATAGCCTTTAATGATTTTGAACTTCACCATTCTTTTCCTAAAGTTAAAAACATATCACATTTCCTTACTTGATAATGTGTATTAGTTTTAAAATTGATTTTTCATATCTCAATTCTTTTTAAAGTGTAAATCTAAGATTCCTGGTTTTTCAAAAAATACAATTTTTCTTACTACAAATAGTAAAAGCATATCCCTATTCCCTTATGCTAAATATCTTAACTCTTCAACTACCCCTTATCACCAAAATAATTTTAACTTAAGTCTACTATAATATTCATAGAATCAAAAATATAGTTCTTTAAAGATAACCCCATATATCATAGATTATTTCAAAATAATTTTTAAATCTAGTCTATTGAGAACAAAT